AGTTTCACAGGAACGGGGAGGTGGTGGGGGCTGAGAGACACAAAAGAGACATTATAGTGTCTATACAGCATTTAAGTTGAAAAAATGTAAAAATCTACAGCCTCTGCAGAGCAACTTACTGTGGGAGACAAAGAGTTTGGTTGTTTACCGAGAGGTGTTGCTGTGGAGAGTTTACACTTAATGTGAAGTTTTAGTTTGAGAAAAAAAATCAAAATGTTGATGTAAAGAGGATATCCCTTTACAGAGGGCCGCTTTGCGGAGGTTGGACTTTAAATTATTAAGCTGAAATATATATAGACAAACAAATGAAGCTTAACGGACCTGTTTTAAACATGGCGGGCTGAATCTATTATTATGTTATATCAAATACCAAAATATAAAAGATACGGGTCTTATAACAGATCCGAAGTTTGACGGAAAGAACCCGAATAGTTCCGACTGTACAATCTGATAAGGATACCATCGCGAAAAAAGCATTTAATTTGAATTTGTTTGCAGTAACTTAATTAAAATTAAAAATTAAAAAAAGAGTCTACGGTCGTTTCCACTATTCCTAGCCTGCTTATGGTGACAGATTCTTTTCATGCAGGCATATCCATGACGCCTGATTATGGTCTGCACTGTTCGTCATTTAGTTAGTTCTAATTTGGAAAATGTCCTCAAAAACATACCTTGTTTTGTCGAGATTTAAAGAAAGACAAGTCCTAATTAAGATATTAAGCGTGGTAAAAGTTATATTTGCTTGTAACTGAGCCGCCCCCACCGAAACAAAACAAGACATTATTGAAGCAATACAGCAATATTTGCAAAACAATTGATTTTCATATACTATAAATTTTTCGCTTGTTTGCAAACATACCAGTATATATCTAAATAGAAAAACAGGTAACTCTAAATAAAACATTCTATCTGTGCATTAAGTGTAGACTCTGGCGTCAACGATAAAGTATTTAATTAATAGTCTACATTACAAGGGAATATCTATTAAAACCTACAACTCGTCTCTAACTTCTGAGAGGTTTCTTTGCGAATAAGATAAATGTCTTTAAATAAATTGTATAAGATGTTTAAAATGCAGTTTAAAGATGGGTGAATTTTAGAAAGTTTCTGATAATCTTTTTTGTTAAAAGAATAATGGGTATTGTTGTTATTTTTAGTAATGTATTAATACACCTCAGTTTTTGTTCATCATCATCGTCATCTTCATCATCATCATCATAGTTATTAATAATGAAAATAATAATTAATTCTTATAATAATAATGATAATAATAATAATAATAATAATAATAATAATAATAATAATAATAATAATAATGATGATGATGATGGTGATGATGGTGATGATGAGGATGATCATCATCATCATCATCAGCAGCAGCAGCAGCAGCAGCAGCAGCAGCAGCAACAAAAACAACAACAACAACAAAAGTAGCTGCAACAGTTGTACTAGTAGTAGCATTTTGCCCTGACAAATATAGCTGTTATTGAATGTATTGATTTTTTATTTGATGTCACAATTCAAACAATATCTAGTGTCATGTCTGTATCATTATTATGAACAAACATCTTTATGTTGGTGTTTTTTGTTGTTCTTGTGTCTTTTCTTTTAAATTAGATATGTGTGAACATATATAAGATAGTTTCGCTTGAACTTCTCCATGTAAAAGTATATGTATAATTTATATGTGGATATATGTTTACTGTAGTATGTGCATATATTATGATAGATATGCATGTTTAATGTAGGTATGATTGTGTTGCCATCATGGGCGAAAAGCTTTACGGAATAAATAAAATATAGCTTATTTTAGTATGTAAATGCATTTATTACCTTGAGTTGTAATTGTTGTTTTCACAAAGAAGGGTTGTTTTCACTTGAAATATAATTTAGAAGGCTATATTAATTATTACACTAATTTATCAGAAATGATAACAATTTTAATCATACACCCAACGTGTTGTTGCTCCGGGCCGCATCGTTAATCATTTTCTTAACGTTAACAAGCTCACTACTGTCATGTTAGTATTCTATTATTTATTGCCTATTGTTATGGATCGTTAGTATAAATTAGACAGAAGGGAGGTAACTGCGTGAGGGAAGTTAAGATTTTTCTTTTGAGAGTTGTGTACCTTTGAAAGTATTGTTCTTTTTTTATAAAAATTCGAGTGGAGAAAGAATACCAGTTAAATTTCGGTGGCTGCAAACGTTTGGGTGATAAGGTCGGTGGGGTTGGGGATGGGATTAAGGTGACCACAAAAATTTCGACGGCCGACAAAATTAAACAAATCGTTATTGCAAAAAAACATTAACATGTTACAAAATAATACCTTTACTGAATATTTTCTAAATAGATATTTGTAGTAATAAATCGCCTAGTGGTAAAAATATTTCCCATTCATTCCATATATCTTATGTTCAACCCTATTGGTGCCGGAACTGGTTAAGACTCGGGACTGAAGAGTGGTTCCGGTAGTTATGATACAAGAATACTTCACAATTCAGCCTCATTTAATGATGTTTAGTTAAATGTTAAGTAAAACTAAGACGTTATGTACACCGAGATTACATAAAGAGATAGGATTAATAATAATAGTTATGATGATGATGATGCTGATGATAATTATAATAATAATAATAAAATAATAATGAAAAAAGGAATAAAAGAATAAAAATATAATAATAAAAGAATAAAAGAATTGGATGCTTATGTGATATTTTTGAAATTAAAGACTTATGATGCAATGTTTGACCAATGCAGTATTTTTTCAAACATGTGTAAACAATATAAAAGCCTATCAACATGACTGTGTTTAAAGTTACGTTTAATAACCATCTAAAATATATGGCAATTAAAAGGTGATATTATTGATTATAGAACAGTCAAATATTTATTTTTGATCTAATGTATCTGAAAATGAAAACCGTTCAAGTTTTGTGGTGTGCAATTTGCTTTCATGATGAAGCTTTTTTAAATAATATTATATGGTATCCCATAAGGACCATCGTTGTTTCATTTTCTCGGTCTCTCTATTCATTTGAAAAGGGCGAAAGTTCGCTTAGAAGACACGAATTAAAGAAAAGACTACAAAAAAGGAGATGATATGTTAAAATTACCAAGCCAGTTTACAGTTTATGATTGAACCGTAACAGTTCTCGCTATAATTTATTTGTAAACTTATCAAAATTCTTATCTAAATGGTAAAAATTATGTACAGGGATTTATGATTTCTACACACGATAAAAACAAATCCTAACATGTTCATGTTATGTTCAAACTCCATTGGTATTCCACTGCATTGAATCTGTCCATTAAACACTTAAATAATACAAGAAGTTATTAATTATGTCAATAACACATGAGTAGGGCTATTTGCGAAATCATTCACTATACTCGGAACGGTCTTGACTACAAGAAATTTAACGAATTGATCTTCTATAGCAAGAACTCCCAGAAGAGTGTCGTCAGAATTTTTTCTCAATACAACTGAAATCGTATCCTAATGGTTTAGACCATTCAACATGATGCAAAGTCATACAAGACAACAACAACAATAATAACAACAACAGCAATTTGATTAAAGTTTCACAGGAACGGGGGGTTGGAGACCTTATACTTTCTATACAGTATTTAAGTTGAAAAAATACGAAAATCTACAACCTCTGCTGAGCAACTTCTTCTTACGGAGAAGAATTCTATAAGACCTATAGTCTTTCGTTCTTATCCTCTTCTTTGAATATTGTCAAATTTTGTATGTGTATATATTTCAAATGTTATTTTGTACATATTCTGAGAATAAATATGTTTAAACTAACTTACTGTGGGAGACAAAGAGTTTGGTTGTTTACCGAGAGGTGTTGCTGTGGAGAGGTAACACGTAATGTAAAGTTTTAGTTTGAGAAATCAAACTGTTGATGTAAAGAGGGTATCCCTTTACAGAGAACCGCTTTGCGGAGGTTGGACTTTAAATTATTAAGCTGAAATATATATAGACAAACAAATGAAGCTTACCGGACCTGTTTTAAACATGGCGGGCTGAATCTATTATTATGTTATATCAAATACCAAAATATAAAAGATACGGGTCTTATAACAGATCCGAAGTTTGACGGAAAGAACCGAAAAGTTTCGACTGTACAATCTGATAAGGATATCTTCGCGAAAACATTTAATTTGAATTAGTTTGCAGTAAACTGTTTAAATTATAAATAAAAAGTATACGGTCGTTTCCACTTGTATTCTTAGCCAGGTTATGGTGACAGATTCTTTTCATACAGACATATCCATGACGCTTGATTATGATCTGCATTTAGTTAGTTTTAATTTGGAAAATGTCTCCCAAAATATACCTTGTTTTGTCGAGATAGAAAAGACAAGTCCTATTTAAGATATTAAGCGTGGTAAAAGTTATATTTGCTTGTAACAGAGCCACCCCCACCCAAACAAAACAAGACATTATTGAAGCAATACAGCAATATTTACAAAACAATTGATTTTCATATTAGACTGTAACTTTCAATATATGCTGTCTCGCCTTTCGCCGACTGCATCTACGATATTTTCAAGTGCTGCAACCTGCAACAGATTACCATATTTGTTTGAATTTGAATCATAGCTGCATTTTATAAAGCTAAGCTCTTGATCAGTATGTGTGCTTATAAATAAACTCAATTTCAGTGAAGTCAAACAAAGCCATAACAGCAAAACAAAGAACAGACATTGCACTATGTTTGACATCGACAAGTTGAGAGGAAACATTTAATTTTTTAAATCCGTTTTCTTACCTTAAATTCTATTTTTGGACAACAGTAATATACAGCTTTTTGTGCTATAATAAATAATTTTTCCATTTTTGAACTGAATTTAATAATTATAGATTGCCAGAAAAGTATGACAGAATATCAATATCTAGCCTTACTCATTTCAAATAAGCTGAAAGTCTTGATTGAAGGGAAAACACATTAAAGTTTCAAAAAGCGCTAATTGTTTGGTGCGAAAAATGATTTTAATACTTTTTCAGAACCCTTATAAGTTAAACTTAATGATAGTTTGAATTAACACACAGCTTACAATGGTGAACTTTATTCATGTTATTTTTAGTACACTGATCTTGATGCGGTTGGTTGTTCAATACCAATTTTGTTTTTGCAAATCCTTCCATTGAAGGTCAGATACTTCAGAAAAGCCTTTCTATACCGTAGACTGTTGAAGGCATACAAGAACGGGTTTACTGCAGACTTCATCCAAAGTAACCAGTTGAAAAATTCATACAAACTTGTATTAACACAATCCCCACAAAATGATATCACCATGGTAGTGATGGAATACGGAGCCCAGAACAATAAGAATGCGACCACTAAGCTGGCCAAAAACTTAGCTGCCCTATCATGACTGTTTTTACGCGAGGTCGATACACTTCTTTGAACTCTCTCGGTTGTATTCGTTCGGTTTTCATATGGGTCGTCGTTTTTCATTTGGTCTTGCTTCACATCTTTATAGTTACTATACGGGTTATTAACAACACCTTCCTTCGGTTCAAAACCAGGAGAATATTGTTTGATTTTACAAGTTTTTAGGGAGTCCCCTTTAGATTTGTCTTGGTCCGAGCAACTCCCAGCATTTGTATCTAACGTTTGAATAACAACCTGATAAGTTCTTGCCGGTTTCACCTTCATACGTCTCCGTATCTTCAGATAGAGTATCGAATTTAGTAGCGTGAGACCAAAGAATGGCAATACAAACTCAACAATAGATGTCGCTGTGGTGAAAATCTGATCATAAGCGAATTCTGCATCGCAGTCCTTCTCTTCAACCGTTGAATAACCAACCCAATGATTCCAGCCGATTATCGCTGGTCCGTACACGAGAAAAGAAACAAGCCACGATATAGATATTTGTGCACGTGCAACCGTCTTTGTAACCCTTTGAGTATATGCTGGTCCCATACTTACCATGAGCAATCTATCCAGGCTTAGAATGAGCATCAATAGAATTGATTCGAAACAAAGCGTAAAGTCCAACACTAGCCACACCTTGCAAAAGGCATATCCAAAGGGCCACGTGAATTCCATCAACGTGTACATTGCATAAAAAGTCATGCTGGAACAGCATAGCATTAGGTCAGTGAACGCTAAATTGACGATAAAGAAATCATAAACCGTTGCTGACTGTCGGTTTTTGAAGAATGCGACTAAAGTTAAAACGTTGCCACTTATGCCAATGATTATTAGAAGCGATAATCCCAACCCTGATGGAATCTGCACGGCAGAGGTCATAGGGATGATGCCCTCATCGTAGTCGTCATAGTCTTCTGTCGTCATGGTAATCGTTAACTAAAATCTAATAAATTAATTTTATTATTTTATGCAATGGAATAAAGAAAGAAAGAAAGAAAAAAGTGAGAAAGAAAGAAAAAAGATAGAAAGACAGAAAGTATGAATGAATGGATGGGTGGATGGTAGAAGGAAGGAAGGAAGGAAGGAAGGAAGGAAGGAAGGAAGGAAGGAAGGAATGAAGGAAGGAAGGAAGGAAGGAAGGAAGGAAGGAAGGAAAAGATATTTGCCTAAAAAAAGTAAATAAATAAGAATTAAAATAAATGAAGGAAAGAACAATCAATCAATCAATCAACAATCAATCAATCAATCAATAAAAGTATATCGATGTGTTTAGTCAAAAAAGAAAAATTAAAAAAAAAAATATTCATTAAAAAAATAATAAAAAAATAAATAATTTCGTACATGTGTAAGTGGAAGACACAAAAATGAAACTTGTTATTGTCTATTATAGCACCATCTAGAAATCTGATAAAATCATAGATAGAAAATATTTTTGTTTAATACCACCTATTAAGATAAATATTTTTCAAAACCTTTTACTGTAGGAGACAAGTTTCAAAGTAAATAATTATGAAAATAATAATAATAATAATAATAATAAAAACAAAAAAACAACAAACAACAACAAAAAAACAAAAGCAAACACACAAAAGCAAACTTGAATCAAAACTTAGGTCTTATATAGCATCACAATCATTTTTCATCTTTTGAAATATATAACAAATTTTACTCAACTTGACGTCGAAAGAATGAGCATGATACAAAACATAAAATTAAATTTTTAAAAAAA